GTGGCTTTATTGATATATGCTGAATTTACTCCCAGCAGGTAGACCTTAGTACTAGCTAGTATGAATACCTGAGGATGCTGTATTTCACTTTAAAATTTATCAATTAAAAAACAAAAACTTGTGTTGGAAAGATATGCCAAAAACCACTCTCTATGGATGTTTCTGGATTGAACTTACTTTTAATATTCAACAAATAGTGGTGGAAAGACACCCCTTGGCTCCTGAGGGGCATGTTAAATTACCAAAATGTAACGTAGTATAACATAATGTGAAGAATTTTAACCAACAAACAAGGATGATCAAGCATTCTTACCTGTAATTCTTTTAGATCAGGGTAGATGATTTTTTCGCATATCAGTTGAGCAATCCTATCACCTTTGTTTACTGGAATGTAAATATTCATTTTTATAACAAACTGGCAAACAATCATAAAAATATAGCAAAATCACCACCCAGTAACAGAGATAATAGTCTAAAATAATATAATGTAGTTTAGAAAGTCGTCATAAAATAAACATTCTCAGAAGTCATGCCACATATTACACAACTGAGCAAGATACAACAGTTTTATTACACACAGCTTCTAAAACAATATATATTAAAGTAAGTAAACTATTTTTACTAACAAACAAAAACTCAGAAACTTTTTACTTACTCTCTGCCAAGCACTTCAACTTAATACTCAATAACTTAATATCAGGGTTAAAGCAAGCATCAAGTGTTAATACATACCTTTGAATTCTTTCTCTCCAAAGTTAAATAGCACAACACCGACATTGCCTCTGTAATCATAATCAATGACACCAGCTAATAAAAAAAAAAGAAAAAGATGCTTTCAGTTCCTTTCTCTAAACTTTAACTCATACAAAAAATTACTATTTCTCTACTTATCCAAGTAAAGAAGTGAATAACTAAAAAAAAACTGCACCTAAATGAAAATTATATTTATTAATAACAAGGTATGTCAAAATTAGATAATGTATCTAAACTCTGACACAAAATGATACTGATTTGATTTTACATATTATAATTCAAAGATTAATTACACTAAAACAAATTTGTCATGACAAAGTTATTCAATTGTTTGATATGGGAATGATGGCAGAGTTTAGTAATACTTCAAATGTTTTTCTATTGGCATGATGTATCAAGCTATTCTTTCAATAAAGTAACAAGTTTTGATCATATAAACTCAGAATACTGAATGTTACCAAAAAAAGTACCAATACATTTGAAAATAATCTTAATAAATGTGTCTTGACAAAACACTCCTTACACTTTTCCTTAAAACTGAACATTTAGCTACAAAATGTAAAATTAGAATTAAAATAAAAAACATTGTAACAGTGCAATGTTTTAAATTTTAATCATAATAATTATTATTGTTATGCAAAAACAAATATATAATAATAATATCGAACCTGTTTATATGCAGGAAATAAACCTTAACAGAATGAATTTCACAAGACAAAAGTTATACAAATAAAATACCATGACAATAAGCACAGGGTACCAGACTGTTTCATAGCCCACTGTTCTGATGCCTCTTTCATGCTGATACATTGCCTTAAATCAATGTAAACACTTATCTAAAAACACAGGCATTCTTTCAAATATAGTAAGAGGTAAAAATGTTGAAGTAAGTATTGTACACTCACCTCCAACATCAATGAAGTGTTTTGCTGCCAATCCTGACCGTGGTGCTGTATAAAATAAATAAAATAAAAAATGCAGACATTTAATATTTAACACTATAATAAATTAGAAATTTTACTAGATTCTGAAAATATGTAAAAGTATAAATGTAAACTCACATTATGCTTTAACAGCTTGCCACCATTTTGATTCTTATTTGATACCTTGGTATAATGTGTCTTTTTACTTGTCACAAAAGTGTCATGATATATTTCTATGAAGTTTCAAGTGACCTTAATAGCTATTGATCATATTCCACATCCTGCCAAATGCTTTTAGTGTATTAATTCTTGAATGTAATATTGTTTATGCCAACGAACATGTGATACACAAAATAGCTTATGGAAAGACTTCAAACTGCAACTCAGACTACAGTACAAAGGAAGAATAAAAGCTTCAGGAAAATGGCAACTGACTTCTTAAATATTGGAATTTAATGAGGAAAAAATAATGACTGAAATAGTCTCCGTCTTAATACAAGTTTATTTACTCTATTCGTCAAGTGTACCTGATGCTCTAAACACAAAAAATCATAACCTTAGACAATAAAGTCTGCTCCTTAATTTTGTGAAACTACACAAGAATTATCTGCCCGTAACTGTCCCTAATTTTCAACTAACATACAAGATGGAAGACAGATAATTCACAACACCTACCACAAACTCTTGTTTGATTGAATTGTGGGATTTGACCATAACTCTTATAATGCACCCATGACTCCAAACTAGTAACAGTACAATCACATCAACCATTAAGCCACACCTAGCCAGCACTAAGAATAGCACACATTAAGAAAGAAAAAGAGAAATTTAAGGAAGTCTGAAACTTTTCAATATTTCAATTTATTACTATAGTGATTACAATTATAAAAATAATGTTCCAAGTGTATTTTGCTTGTAGAACTGCCTAGCCAAAAATCTATGAACAACTCAAAATAGGTTGTAGATACATGGGAACATGACTAGTTTTAAAACAATTTTTTCCAAAAACCAAGTTTCACAAACTGTGAGCACTTGGCAATACACAAACATATGGTATATAAAATTAAATGTTTTCATAAATATACATTTAGTGAGTATTTTATGCTTGCTGAAATAAATCAATATGTAAAATATCATTGCTGTAAAAAATTACAACTTACCCTGTGAAAACACTAAATATGAAAATTCTCTGAAATTATTATAGTATTTCTAATTAAAAACTTTTATTATATATATATATATATATCATAAAGATGTTCAGCTGAAAGAACACCAATCTCAAGATTGCTAGTTTAAACTGGAGGTCCTGAGTTGAAACCTCAGTCAGGGCAGAATATTATATCTATGAAAATTGTTACAATTGACACCCAATGTGGAACTCAAAAGTTGTATAATTTGTGTTGGTTGTTAGTGAAATTTGTTGAGATGAAAGCTCTAGAACAAGCATTGTTCAGTAAGTAAGGAATAGGTCATAACTAAGATAGGTGTTGTCTGCTTTGATGTTGCCCTGTTCAGTTGGAAGAGCACCAGTTTCAGTGTGTTAGAAGAAACTGAAGTATGCCTTTAATACTTTAAAAATACTTTAATCATTATATTGTACAACAATGACTTAAGAAGCTGAGAAGTTAAGAAACAGAACAGCTAAGCTACCTATTCGTCCATAGCATCCTTCTGGCACAGCAATTTGAATATCAGTCATTACAACAGCCTTACCCGCTGGAGGAATTACATATTCATAGGCACTGGAATAAAATTAATAATCCACATTATCATTTATTTAATGTGACATGACACAAAGATAAAAAATTTACTGGTCAATCACCAAATAAAATATTCTATGGAAAAAACTGGTGATGCACCTTTATTAATAGAATGGAATTCTTCATAAACTACTAACTGTCAATAATCTTAAATCGTCTACATGAACGTGAAAATTTACTTAAAAAAATTATATTAACTAAATTATTTTCCAACAATGCGAAGCAAACAGAGCTGAAAATGTAAGCAATGAAACAGTGATTTTTAACTCAGTACTGACTTTAGCAATAGTAATTAAAACTTGTTTTTTACATTTAACTTTAGTTAATTCAAAAAACGAAAATAAAAACTTCACAAGCAGAGTTGACGAGAAGGAACAGAGGAACAATTGTACTGGAGCCCAAATTTCTCTTGAATTTGAATTTTTGACCATTTTAAGTTTTAGTGTTTCAAGTTTCCAAAATTTAACAGTTGTTATGAAATTAATTTTTAAACAAAGACATTTCTAGATAAGCTTACCTATACAAATCATAGCCTGCAGCATGAGTCGAGCCTTTAGTTGGAGCTTGTGCGTTTGAAGATAACTTTGAAAATTTCAAAACCATTTTATCTTGGGCAGGCATGATCTTCTTAGAAAAGGAATACTCACAATAATGAAATTCCCGCGCTAGTATGATGGAATTTTTTAAGACTTGCCTCCCTCTGGTGATTGCTTCTGTAATGTTGATATTATATACAAAAGTAAATTCAATAAATAATGTACATATTGTAAGGTAGAAAAAAACAATTTCTCCTTATATCAAAATCTACTTGTGAAAGCGAAAATCAAAGAATGTTAATCAATGCCTTCATGAAACTTATTACAATAATAAAAATTACTAAAATAACAAAATATATTAAAGACACCTAGTGTCACCTGTCGTTAAACTGGATTGCTATTTATATAAATAATAGTCCACGCCTCCATACTACCAACATGTTTACTTTAGTTAGTTTATGCCACCAAAATACTTAATTTTATATTTAGTGATTAAGAAAATGCAAATAAATATATCAATTTATATTTATTCTTACTAACAACGTACCTTTCAATGCCATGTTTACAATCGATAAGCGATTCACATCAAACACATATTCTGGGCTAAAAAATATACAGTTTGATATGACGAACACGCTACATGGTGAGTGTTTTAGCAAACAAATTATAATAATTCGTAATTACAAGTTTTACCTTTTTTTTGTCAATTATTAACTGTAATTTTTAATACATAAACTTTTGTCTTGTTATCAATATGTTTCTTTGGCATTGTAAGTAATTCTTTATATAAACCCATATTGATTAATATGGAGATCTTTTAGAATGATAAGATAAATTCGCACTCGAAGTTCAATATTCCTCGTAAAACTGAAGAATCTCTTAGCCTAAATTATATACTAGTTAATTTTTTTTAGTTGTAATGTTCTACTTTTTGTTATAAACATTTTAAGTGTGTAAATAAAAGGTAAATAATTGTCAATTTAAGAAATTAAAGTTAAATTTGTTAGTATCCTTACGTAATACCTGCTTTTAGTATTTCTTACTCTCCAGTGGCTCAGCTATAAGTCTGCCAGCTTACGACGCCAAAAATCATGTTTTAATACCCGTGATTGGTAGAGCACAGATAGACCACTGTGTAGCTTTGTGCTTAATAACAACCAAATCAAACCAGCTTGTATATTAATAATATAAATTATAGATGGATGGGCACGTAATATTAAAGGAAGTTTGATTATGCACATCAGCAAATACATGTGACGAACTTAGCCAATATAAAGTCGCTGTGGAATGGCATGTCTCAGAAGTACATTTTAACATTGCTTGGCGTTTCGTAGATAGTGTGATGCCACCGAAAATGGATATATTTAGGGAAGGGTTTGTAATATTCTTTTCTGACTAAAATATTCATACGTTCAGATAATAACAATGAGTATATATCGGAGATTTAGAATTTCCTTGATGGTGACCTCTTAATTAATAGCGTTGGAAACCAAAGGAATGTGGGCTAAATTGGACCACTAGAACCATTTGCAAAGAGGCCAACAAACTGTATCCCAGCCGTATTCAGCAATGTGCAGCGTCTTGTAATAGGTGAGAATCTATCAACACAAAGTTCGGTGGCAATAGCCATCCATGCACTTCAAACATCATGATCAAGAATGATCTCCGTCTGGAAAAGCAACACAAGTCATGTTTACACAAGCTATTTCCATGACATAATCATTCGACTGTCGTATATCTAAAGTAGCTGGAGAATGAAACATGTATTCTTCGTATTCCACACGAATACATGCAAGTCCAGTCATCAGAAGTGTTGCCTCTATATTTCTGTACAATCGGACAGTTGAAACGGGTGCTTAGAAATCCTCGTCCTCATACACAAACTGGCTTATGAAAAGCCTCATGAAGTAGGAGTGAGTTTTATATATAACAGACTTACAATGGAACATTTATCTTTGTAATGGAAATTACATTACAAGACTTTTATTAATTAAGACGCATGGTTGGCAGATAGAAAATGACTGGACGTAGCAGAACTGATTGTAACAACGTGGGGGATAAGATTTGTCAGTTTGTTATTTTCAGTTTTTTTTATATAGTCACTCAAGTAAACAACTCATCATTGCTTTTGCTGGTGCAAATGAGACACAGATACACTACTTGACAATTAACCACGTTTTCCTACAGGAAAGATAGCTCGTGGTGTATTAAGATAGGAGGCTGCCTTTTTCTGTCGGCGAATTGGATAATGGACAGGAGGTTCCGCGGCCTTATGCTTGGATTCCATTGACCAACGGTCACATGTGTGGGGGTGGTCGTGTGAAAACCTGGTTTTGTTGATGTCATTGTGTTTAGTATTTAAAGTCAGATTTGTACCTTTAAGAGGAACTTTTGCAGACCTTGTAACTTTAATTGATCTTAGCTAACTTTCACTTTTGCTTAAATGATGACTTCTAACTTTTAGTAAACGTGGTTTAACTTTTACTTTGTTTAAAGCTACAGTGTTTGATTCATTTTAACAGTAAGTGGTTATTTTAGATTTTGTTTTGATGTATCTTACAAGGAGGCTCACACTGGACTGGCAAAAGAAATATTAAGTACTTCTTTACCTTTCTCTTAACAGTTCAACACAAACACTTGCCTTTGCTTTGTGTTCGAGAATGTTTTTCCGAATGCTCTTTTTTTCTTGTGCACATCCTGTGTTTCGACTCCTTCAAAAAACTCAGTAAGAGTTCGGGAAGAAACACAAACACGTACTCCATAGACGATATCCTCCAAATATCCTGTAGCAAGCCCTAACAAACTGCTCTGTAGAAAATCCATGCCCCAAAAATTACCACACTTGTAGAACATTTGTTGAAACATTTAACCTGTGGATTTGTGAGATATCTTGTTTTGTTTTGCTCGGGTATGCATGTCAGGTATTTCTATACTTCTGTCCCTTAATTTTGGATCATGAACTTGATTGCACTTGTCAACCAGAAGAAGAAACTTGACCGGTTAGGTAGCAATTCACCGTGTGGTTGTGTGCAAGTAAATCATTTTTATCTTTCAAGTTAAACCTGTGCTTGTTCTTGTTTACTTTTTGTATTCATTTCATTCTTTGCTTTACTAACCTTAACCTGTATGTTGTAGATACGTTTAGAATTTTCCATTGAACCTGAATACTACGAAATAAAGCCAAGTTGAAGTCAGGAAGTTTCGTGGGCTTTTATTATTTTTTATTAGTAACATTCATCTGTTTCTTTCGCGGTAAAAAGTTTATGTTCTAATAAATTACAAAATAAATGGATTAATGACTGAAGGACGTTCATATTCATGACTACAGGAGTTTTTATTAAAAATGGATGCATGTAAAAGACTGTATCTTGGTAGTAAACCTGAGACTGTTTTCTTTATGATTAAAATTAATTTACTAATATTATGTAGTACTGCTTCTTGTTAGTTAATAGAACATGTTATACACATCACGTCTGCTTAGAGTATTCATCTTATACGAACAGCCGGCATACTATGTCTAGCTGATAAAAACGTACAAGTGCTTTAATGAAGAGTATCAATTCTTCAGGGTGGCTGTTTGGTTACCTATCATTTCATACTGAATGGTATTGTAGTTGGGGAGGATAATGAAATAGTCATTGTTTAATTTCTAGAACTGGATCCATGTTAACAGGTGTGTATGTAGAAGATATATTTTGATTTATGAAATATAAATTATTTAAAAGTTCTTGGGGCTAATACTGTTACGACAGTGGGAGGTCACGTGACGAGTATTCTAGAAGATTCGCTAGTGTGTTACGACAGCGGGGTCACGTGACGAATATTCTAGAAGATTCGCTAGTGTGTTACGACAGCGTTGCGTCAACTGACGCTGGTAGCAC